CCTGGAGAACTCCCTTGCGAAACTCCCTGTTAGCAGCCCCTGGTCGCTATTGGCATTTTAACATTCCCAGTGGTAATCTGCCAGTCCCTGCTTGTAGCTTTCTGAACAGTCCTGTGTTCTTAAAGATGTGAGCATCACTCACCTTCCATGACCAGCCCACATTGTTGTCGGTGAAGAATCCCTAGTGATCCACCACTGCTTGCATAATGATAGAAAAGTAGCCCTTTCTGTTGATGTACACTGTGGAAAGGCTGTTTGGTGCCAAAATCGGGATATGCATGCCATCTATTGCTCCACCACAGTTCACGAACCCCATTGCTGTAAATCCTTCCACTATGTCCTCCACATTGCCGAGAGTCACAGTCCTATGTGGCAGGAGGCAATTAATGGCCCTGCACACTTGCATGACAATGGCCTCACAGTGTGTTTTCCAATGCCACATTGATTTCCCACTGACCAGTAGCAATCTGACATTGCAAGTTTCTACAGTGCAATCACCACTTGCTTCTCCATTGCTAATGCAGCTCTCATTTTGGTTTCTCTGCACTGGAGGGCTGGGACACAGTTCCAGGAATGTGGCCTTGAGCAGCTAAACATCCTTCAGCCATGTCTTGGCATCCTAAGCCTGCGTTACACTGCAATCCCACCACTCAGTGCTCATTTCTCAGGCCCACCTGCAGCTGCTTCATGAATGCCACCAACAACCTTGAATTGGTTCTCGCTATATCCCGCAGCAATCTGTCCTCCGAGAAATCATATTCCCCACAGACTCGGTTCTTCTTATGGCTCTGCAGATACCATAGGATCTTGAGTCCTGTGCTTGCCACACTCCTGACAATAGTGCAGAGCTGTGCAGGATCCACGCTTCTGTCAGAGTTGGTGAACAGTGAGGAGGGCTGTGCGGGTTTGTGGGATTTTGAAAAAAAGGTGTGAAAATTATGGGATACCGATGACATTATGATGGGATGGAGTTAGTTGCACACTGGGAAGTTGATGTCTTGCTTCCTGGCGCCGCTGCATGAATTGTTTTTAACCCACCAGGCGTTGCCAAAACTTCCCAAAAGTCAGTGTGCTGAACGGTGGCAGGATGCAGCATGGGATACCTATCCATGGTGCACTGCACTGTGCATCTGTACAAACACTCCTGCTGAGTACATGCACTGCTGACACAAGTAGCCAGTATACATGTGCATAAGTGATATACCAACTGCAGTGTCTGTACTCTGATGTAACTTGCATTGGCAAAACTTTGTAGTGTAGACATGGCCACAGACAATCCCTTTGGGGATATAAGGAACCAAAAGAGAGACTCTGTCTTTATTCTTTACCTTAGGAGACAAAGAAACCAAGTGATTTGATCGCTGTAATGGGTCCTGGTAAGGCTGGCCAGAAAAAAGCCCTGGAAAGGAGACTGTGGGTGAGAGAACCCATCTTGAATAAAGACTGTATCTTGCTAGGTTAATTTTTAATCTTTTAGAAACATATCTTCACTTTTATTTTCTTGTAACCATTTCTAATTTTATCCCTTTTACTTGGTATCACTTAATCTATGTTAATCTGTTAATAAACTTGGTTTGTTTTGATTATAAATCATCAGTGCTGTGTAAGAGCAATAAAGTGTATGCTTCTAGACATGTAACAGGTTGGAGTGTTTTATTGTCTGTGTAGAGACAGTGAACTTAAAACTTTCTCTGTGAGTCTTCAATGAGAGATACTGGCCCCTGCAGTAGGATGATTTGGGGGCAAATTCGGGATTAGAAGGCTACAAGGAGTAGCCTGCAAAGAGTAACCAAGTTGAGCAAAGCCAGCTTGTGGGCTGTTGGCAGGTTGTTAGGGTCAGAGCTATAAACCAAAACAGCACAGCCACAAGACACCCAACATTACAAGGTGGATGTGACTGAATCCGTTACTGGTCTGAGTGAACCCCAAAATGTCAAAAAAACATTAATAAAATATTCTACAAATACTTGGCAGTAGTTTATTTGTGATGCTGTGACTCAGTCACATTTCTTAATTATGAACTGCAGACAACTGACTGACCCTTCAAACACCATTCCTTCTTGAAGGAAGGTAAATCTGAGGGCCCTGTAGAAGCACCTCACTGCCATCTACAGCCTCAACCCTTTCATGCCATCAGCAGTAGCTAGGAAGAATAAAGCCCCTGGATCCACCCTAGAGATGTGAAAGGTAACTTTTGATTCATACATGAGTAAAAGGTACGTGGGGTATTTTACGCCAAGGATGTTCTCCAGGAAGTGAGAAGTGCAACTGTTCAAATATCTTCCTGCAGAGACCAGGAAGTTATAAAATAAAATAAAACCAGGAACACCTTCATCTGAGACTGAAATGAAATCACTTTGTATTGATTTAGTGTAGACGCAGAACAGAATATTGAGCCGCGCCCCTCCATAGTCAATGCCTATAAATTCTGATGCAGCTTTTGTCAGGCACCCTGACAAGATGGGTACCACAATGTTCTTCACTTGGATGATACTGTTAATGTCCGAAACTCTGCAGACTACCACAGGTAAAATGCCTACAATTCTTGCAAAGTCATTCTTTCAAAAATGTAAAGAGAAGTTTTGCTCATTGTCACTGGGTCCACATTTAGAACTTCCAGTCATGGCAATGGGAGTTTTGTGCAAAATTTAAAGGTAGTGTAGGGCCACATTGGCTAGCACAGCTTTGTTCTATTGAAAAATGTGAGCCAAGGAAGCTAGTTAACTAGAACTATTATTTGAACCATGTAATAAACTGCTCAGTATGATTAAATTAACCTTGCTCCCACTACCTAGGCTTTTGTGTTAAGGACTTATATCACAATTGAAATCAAGTCAATCAATATACTATAAGTTACTGATTTCATGTCTCCAAATCTTTGTGTTCAGGGTGGGAATTAAGGAGGGATGTGGTTTCTCTTGCTAAAAAGCATATTTATTTTAAAGTGCTTCAAATGTAATATTTCCAGGTCCACAATGAATCACCCAGTTTATATTTCATTAAATATATTTTAATGACATGTAATCAGATATGCTTGTAAAATTATCATAGTGTACTTGGGGCAAATGAAATATTACACACACCCCAATATGCCGGCATCTTCCCTTTGTCAGTGATTTTCTTTCTTGCTATGTTATATGATTAGTTTGGGTAACCGGTTCAAAATGTTAAACCAACCTATTCTAAACAATCCTGTAAAGCTCATATTATATAACTTAGACTTTGTACCTGGAAACACGGTGGGTGATTTTCATAACTAGTATTTAAGCAGCATTATAGTTATTTTTATTCACATCAGGCCCTTGATTAAATGAAAAATTTAAAGGGCGAGTGTGCTATAGGGTGTGTCTATCTTTTCAGTGTATTGATGAATGGTTATGTTATAACAGGGGTATAAGGATATATGAGTGAACCCTAACTGTAACCTTAAAGCTGGGCAACTTCTTCAAAACAACTTAAAAATTTGGCTCCTTCCCTAATCTGAAATATCCTTCCTAAACTACCAATCATGGGATCTGAGTTACCTGTGTGCTCCCTGCTGAACAGATGGCTGGCCTCCTAACTATCTGACCTAGCCACCTTTCTTCCTCTAGTCTCTCTCTCTCTGTGTGTTTCTTTCTCCCCATCCCCTATTTCCTCCTCAGACGCTCCACATCTTTCCTCCCTCAGGATGGCCCTGACTCCTGCTTCCTCCAGCTTCTCCCACATTTTTTCTACTAACTCTCACCATTACTGCCCAGTCCCTTGCGCACTGCTTCCCAGTGGGAGAGATTATTTCCAGTGCTCTCTATGCATTATTCAGGCACCTCTGTATTTTTGGCGCCTTTCAGCTGTGTTGCAGTGAGCAGACCTGTAAACTTACATCCCTAATGGACAGCTTAAGCAAATAGAAAGATGAGAAAGAGGTAGGCAATGGTGGCTCCCTTATAACCTTTAGCTCAGAGCCCTCAGCTGGGATGTGGTTGACCCAGGTTCAATTTCTCTCTCTACCTGATGCAGAGCAGAGATTTGAATTTGGATCTCCCATGTCACAGCAGAGAGTCCTAGCCAATGGACTATGGGATATTTGGTGTGGGGCTCTCTGAAACTTTTCTTTTGAAGGTGGTCTACTTTATATAAATAATTAAATAGTCAGTGGAGAAGGGACTTGAATTTGGGTCTCCCACATCTTAGGCGAGCGTCCCAACCACTGAGTTAAAGGGTATAAGGAAGCTTCCTCCTACTGTTTTGTGAATCTAACCCTTTATTTCCTGTGCTTCTATTTTAAAATGCTCCAAAAATCATTTCATTTGATCTAAAATAATGTTTTTGTCATTTTAATGATATTGGGGGGGGGGCACTTTCAGTTTCAGATCAAACCAAATGGATTTTTTTAAAAAAATTTTGAAACTGCCAGAGAACTGAAAAATCCTTTATTCACCCAGTCCCAGTGTTCAGTCCTGCTATTGATGACAGATATAGACTGACTGCAAGAAAATATAACTTCAGGTCACCTGTAACTGACCAATAGCATCGTGCATTGCTTCCAAATTTACAGTTTCAATTCTATGCAAATTGCAAAATGTTTTGGTATTGCCGAATCTACCTTTTTTTTCTGGAAAAAGTTTTGGCCTAAAAATTTTGCCCAGTTCTAGTTATAAAACACTATTAACTGATGCTAAAATTTCTCACATTTCACCCTAACAGTTTCTGGATATACAACAGCTTCAGAAACAGGTAACTTATCACTTACATATTATCTATCGAGACATAAATTTTAATATGCTGACATGCACATGTACAGAATCACTACTGAAATTTATTACAGGCAGAGCTGCTAGTGCCACTTTTACTTAAGGTTGCCTAACACTGTCCATGATAAGGTCCAATTTTCAGTTGCTTATAACTTTGCCAAACTTCAACCATTTAGGCTCAAATCCATGAATGTTTGCCACACACTGATGTATTTTGGGAAGTTTCAGCTACAAAATTTCTTCTGTTTTCAAAAATAAGATTAGGGAAAACATGTAGTTTTGCCCAGGTTAAAAACATTCTTTAAACTGTTTCATTAAGGAGCTCTTGAGCCTCCATGATTTCGTGTAGGGAGCTGGAATTTGGCAAAGGGGATATACTTTTGGCCACCCTGTGAAAATTCACCATAGGTCTCTAGTTTTGCCTGTTATCTTCCTGCAGAAACACCGGGATACACTCCATCATGGCCCTGGTACACAACAACTGGTAAGTGCTAACTCATGCTGGTTTCTCTCAGAGGTTTCTCTTTTATGGGATTCTGTGCTTGAAATGTTTCGCAACTGTAACGTATGATTTCAGGGAGCCGTTGCCATGTGACTGAAATGAGAGGAAGGACAGGTTGAATAGCAATATGAAGGGCCAAAAGTCAAACCTGGTTCAGTACATTTGTTGAACAGTACAGATGCATGTCACAGCCATAGTCTAACATATTGTACCCTCAGAGAATTGAGGTGTGGAGAATAAATATAGTTCTCCTCAGTCCATCCCACACACTCTCACTTCTGTTCCTTATCCTTCGCCAGGAGATAGTAAGGCACATTTGCAACAGTTACAATTTTTCTTTGAGGATCAGATTTTCAAAAGTGCTCCTCCTCCTCCCTGCACGTATGATTTTTTTAGGATCCTTTGAGCTTGTTAGTTGAAAGGCAACTTTGTGGAAGGAGGCAAATCTTCCTATATCAAAAACAAAGAAACATTCACATGAAACTCTGAGAAGTTAACCACTGATTTCTACACAGTTTTAAAAGTGTTTGGACTGAATTCTGTCCTTATTGACATCAGTATAACTCCATTGACTTCAGTGGAGCAGGCTGGAATAACAGTTCTGTGGAGATTTGTACACAAAACCTTGCTATTCTGTGCTTGAAGAATGGAATTATCTTAGTCATGTCTTTACTTCCCAATAGCTGGGGATCACACTTCCTATGTGTAGCTTTTTTTACTCTGATTGTCACAATCCAATATGACCTCCCAGACTCACAAATTAATGTTTCTGTAACTATAATTGTTCTTACAGAAATATTGACCTTTGCTTTTATGTTTGTTTTTAGACTATTACCACTGTGGTGGCCACCTCTCAGGTTTTTCTGGGGAATTCTCTAGTCCAAACTATCCTAGTTACTATCCAAACAATGCACGATGCATCTGGGAAATACAAGTGGAATATAATAGTTACGTAGACGTCCAGTTTGACCATGTTGCGTAAGTAAAGCACTCGATATTTATAAGTAATTTAGCCTTTTTTGATCTTTAATTATTGTGCTATCCAGTTGGTCATTTATTTTCACTGATCTTTATTAGAGGGCTCTTTAACCATTTGAATGCATTATGGATGTATGAGTAGCACCATTAAGCATGTATGTTCATCCCATTTAATGAATTTTCCTGACTCACGTCTATACTAATTACATTTCTATGTGCACACCTGACTTCAAAAGCACCAGACTGGGTGCATTACATGGGTTAGTTACATTGCAAAAACTCTGAAATGTTGTTGCAATTAGGCTTCGTTTTTACAAAAAAATATTCTGTCTTCTATGTGCAAGTGATATACATAATTGCAATTTCACGTCATCTAGCATATGTACAAAACGTTAAGTATAATAAATACAATAACTTGGGGAATTCAGGAGATTAGGCTGTGCTCTTCATCTAATGTTGATTTGTAAGTAAATTGCAGTGCACACATAACATAATATGTTGAAATTAGATCACTCACATGGTGACTTGAAGACATAAAGAAATGTTCTCAGAACATCAGTCCTATCTATACCATGATACTGTAACTTCATTTGGTTAGAAGTATGCATGAAGCATTTTTATTTTCTCATAGGTTTCTTTAAAGAGGATTAAAATTGTAATGTTAAATATTAAATTTGTTAAATCTTCACCTGGACATTTGTTGATAGAGGGTGAGCACATTGTACAGTATCATAGGACATGTTTACAGAGCAGTGAAAGCCTAGGGTTAGTGGGACTCAAGACAGCTGACCCATGTCAGGGAACCCTGGGCTTGAGCATTTACACTGCATTTTAATCCTAGATAAAGGATTTTCTGACCGGAGCTCTAACCTAGGGCTCTGGCATCCACACTGCAGTGCGCACACCCAAGTCAAAGTAACCCTATCCCGGAATGCCTAGCTTCCCCTCCCCCCCCCCACCCTAGCATTGACACTCTAGCCCGACGAATATGCTGCACAGTAGGGAAATTCTACTGCCCATTCTCTTTCCTCCTGTGACAGTGCTATTGATGGGACACAGGTGCCCATAAGGAGCTATGAGTACATATACCACATTATTCGCTCATTTGGTAGCTGTCTCAGGAGAATGATGGCAGTTTGTGAAAGCTTTATACTGAACTACCATCAAATCTGAGAATTGGTCTCGCCACCTCTAGGCTGAGTCACATTGGCAGGAAAATGCCCACGTGCACTTGTTCTGAGGATAATTAGGACGTCAGTCTCCAGGATTGTCAAACTAGGAAACGTTGCAACTCTTAAGATTCAAACTGGGATTTTCAATGAAGGTGTTTTTGTTTGGCTGGTTTTTTATTTATTTTTTGCTGCCTGTTTTGAATCCAATATCCCCTCTCCTGCTGCACCCCGGGAGGCAGGGATAGGGGATCCCTGGGAGGCTTTTGGGCTGGCTCCCACTCACCACCCGCAAAGTGCATGCTGTCCGGATGCCCCCGCATGCACAGCCCCAGGGAGGGCAGAAGGGGTCAGAAAGCATAGTGGGGACCAAGCGGCTGCCCTGCGGGGGGGGGGGGGAACAGCCAGAGTGTTGGGGGGTCATCCCTTCCCTGGCCATGCTGAGCCAGAAGCTATGTTACTCCCCCTCCCTGTAGCCGCTTCGTTCCCACTCTGCTCTCTGCCCTCCCTGCCCCCATGGGGCTGTGTGTGCAGGGGCGCCCAGACACTGTGCACCAACATCTGGCTATGCTCTTGTGACCAGGAAGCAGCTCTCTTTGCAAAAAGCTTCTTCTGATCGGTCTCCATTGAAAACCCTGCAGGCTCTCTGATAGTTAGGGCCCTACCAAGTTCAAGGTTGTGAGAAACATGTCACGGACCATGAAATAAGCCCTTTCCCATGAAATCTGATCTCCTCCGTGCTGCTTTGAGCGCCTCAGCCAGGGGGCTTTCGCTGCGAGTACCGACCAGGCTGGGGAGGGACAGGACTTGTCCTTTCCCAGCACAGCCACTGGCGGGAGGTAGGAAAGATCAGCCCACATCTCTGGTTACCTTTTGGGTTGGAACCCCCACAGTTACAACAACGTGAAATTTCAGATGCAAACATCTGAAAATGTGAAATTGACCAATTAAAAAACCCTCTGGTTGTGAAATTGATCAAAACAGACCTTGAATTTGGTAGGGCCCTACTAACAGTGTACTTGCAGACCGGTGTTCAGCAGGCAATGAGTTAGTGCTCATCTGAGCTGCTGCACTATGCAAAGTGAGGTGTGGCTTCCTTTTGCAATAGAGTGCAATACACTGTACCACAGATTGTTGGCATTGAGAGGACTAAGGAAGTTGCCCCAAGGAACTCTGGGATAAATCTGGAAGACTTCTGGGACCTGATTGAAGCTACGGCTGCATGCAGACAGAAAAGTAATAGGGCCCAGACCCGAGGTCCCAGCTTAACATTGGCTCGGACCCCCTCAGCCCTGCAGAATCCTGTGACCCTAGGTTCGAGTTCCAGGTTAACACAATTGGTGTATGGATGCAAGGGGAGTTAGGTTGAGTCTGGGCTTAAGCCCAGGCTTACATTGCTGTGTAGACATACCCATAATTTCCACTAAAGGCCACATTTTCAAAACATGGCCTCTAACTGTGTGTGTGTGAAACCTGCCACTTCTGCATGAACGAACAGTCCAGTGTGCCAAAAATGTAGTATCTGTGGTCAGCAAGTATTTATCTGCATGCCTGCAGAAATGCTAGCAACTGGCACATGTGTAATGAGAGGTCAGGCTACTACAGACTGCAGGCCAACAGTTCTGGGACACTTTCAACAAACTGTTTTGATTGACAGCCAAAAGGATAATTTACAAGTACAGTCTAACTTTCCCTCCACAGACTGGAACCGAATAGTAACTGCAATTACGATTTTATTGAAATCTATGAGCGACAGCCAAATGCATCTACTTTGCTGGGAAGAATATGTACTGGTGGTTATCAAATATTTACATCCAATTCAAACAGAATGACCGTTGTGTTTTCGAGCGATGGCAGTAACCAAAATACAGGATTTCATGCTTCTTATTATACTGTCTTCATAGGTAAGAATAATTACTTTGTCTCAGATATGCTGGTTAGCATGGAGCATATATTTTGTGAACCTGGCCAGATGAACTAATTATTTAGGATTCTCATTCTTTCTCTTATATTATCCATTTTTATTTCTTCTTTGACAGTAGATAGTTTTAGCAATTTCAGCGGAATGGGAGAGTTTTACAACACTTCATGTAGGTTACGAATGTAAACAGAGAAAGTTCCAAATGTAAAGAGAGTATGAAGTTTTCCAGAAAAATATGCACCCTGCACAAAAATGCCCTTCCTCCACAATCAAAGGGGGAGGAACATTGAGTGGCCACAGGGAAAGGACGCAGTGCCCACATGGTGGGGGGGGGAGTTGGCTGATGTGAGAGAGCATGTGTGGCTGGGAAAGGGGGGGGCTATCTCTTAAGGTCCACCACCTTCCCCATTGGCTGTAGGGGAGGGAATGAGCTAGCCTTTTGGCTCTTGTGCACCCCCCACCTAGCCGATTTAAGCTTATCCAGTCTTTTCAAAAAGTGTCTTGCTACAGCTAGTTACCCTGCCCTCAATCACCTTAGTATAGCATCAGTGTTGTGTTATTTAGGATGTGTTAGTGATTTAGGGGTGCACAGAGGGTGAGGAGCTGAGGATGTTGGTGACGGAATATTTTATAGGCCTGGCAAAAATAAAGCTGAGCTCAGCCATGATCAAGTCGTGTTCAGTGGGTCGCTGAAAATGCAAATGGACTGGCTGTTCCTTTTCCATCCACCAACCCTCACTAACACATGTCAAGAGTGCAGTGGGAGTAGGCTGTGGAGCCCCAGCAAAGCTACAGGGAAGATTCAGTTTCCCTCAGCGGAGAATTTGACGCTTACCAATTAATACAAATCTTAATCTAAATGTCAGAATATGGGTTCTGTTCAAATAACCATTCAAACTTTGGAACCAAATGGTAGTGTTCTATTTTGCTTCTCTGGCAGACTGAGGTTCGCTTTCATAAGCCTAACTATGCAGTCTTCATTAGCTGGCAGGATGATGGAAGATTAGAAAATCTTGGCATTTTAGGAAATTGGCAAAAATGGCAACAAGCTCTTACCCTGATACATAGGAATCCCCAGGAAAAAGCAGAAAATAAAAAACATTATTTATTATTCAGAGAATCTGCAAAATATAAAATTAACTCAGATTTATCATAATAATACTTTACATTTATATACAGGGCTTAATTTATGGATCTCAAAACAGCTTACCTGGAAGTAAAGGATCTTTATCCCCATTTTTACAGATGGGGAAACTGAGACATACAGTTTAAGTGACTTGCCAAGGGCCACACAACAAGACAGTTGAAAATGTGGGAGTAGAAACCAGATTTCTTGACTCCCAACACCATGCTACAGCCACTAGACCACAGTTCCTTCCTTGTGATATAACATTTTGCTATATGTACATTACTTGCTCTTCTCTCAACAGGCTCTGGTGGTATAGAATAGGGATGACCGGAAAGCAAGAACATTCTGGTTTGGAGAATAGTTTTGAGGTGTTAAAATTTGTTTTCATTCTGCATCAGAACAAAAATGAGACTGTTTGGATTTTAATGAAAAAGCACAAGAGTTTTAGCGCAAGCCCTCCCCACAATAGCCAATAGCATGGTAGTTAAGGCATTCATCTATTATGCAGAAAACCCAAATTCAATGCCCTGCCTACCTATTTGGGAGCAGACACTTGAACCTGGGTCTCTTACATCAGGTGAGTGCCCCCCCCCCACACACTGTGCCAAAGAAAACCAACTTCTCTCCTGGACCTAAGACATCTCCCAGTGAAAGGTTTGTTTAAACAGATGTTTCCATGAAAAGTTTTGGTTTTGATGAATCAGCATTTTCCAACCAAAAAAAAAAAAACATTTGTCAAAAAATTCCCAAGCAGCTAGAGTATAGCATCCAGCACATTAACATAAGGATAGGCTATAACCAGATGCGTGATTCAAACTCCTTAGTGTTTTTCATGATTTCGGAGGGGGAGGGAGGGGAAGGGGAAGGGGATGAGGGAGGAGAGAAATTACACTAGTTGGAAAAAGACTATTGCCCATTATTTCACAAATCATTTCCCATGTCTTTCAAAGACTGGTGAATGGATGGAACAGATGTGAGTGTCATGTTGAACTTTATTACAAATGAAATTGGGCAAGGGTTTGTGATGATTAATGGAACACACAAAGCAGGGGTTGTTTGAAGGCAGCCTGGATGTGGATGGGGCATTTCAGCAACAAGAAATGTATATTTTGGTCAAGACTCAAAAAATTTTCTCCTTGATTATCTGCATTGTGGAGGTAATGAATCCTATCTTTAGGACTATCTTAGTCTAAGATGGGACTCATGTAACTGTGGTCCCAGTGAAGATGTTGGTTCCATCTCTACAGGCATTTTCTGATTTTTGACCAGTTCTGCTATCCTTACTCACATAGAGGAGTGCCTTACTGCCATAATCTGAAAGATCCAATGATTTTAGAGGACCTTCTTACGGGGTACGTTCCTACACAACATGAGTAAGAGTTTAAGAATTGGGCCCAGAAGAAGGAAAAATAATCCTACAAATACTTCTGCACATAAATAATTTGAATCATCCAAGAAGGTCCCATTGGCTTCAATGGAACTAGTGGTGTGAATAAAGTTACTCATAAAATACAAACCCCCCTACATTTATGTTTTTCCATGACTCTGGCTCGCTGAATAAAATCTGTCCAGAATTTTAAAAATGTATTAATAAACTTAGAGATGGAACAGAACCAAAACCATGAATCCAAATACACTTGACCTTTGGGAACATTTGGATCCATGCCTAAGCTGTGGTTTGGGCCTATCTCTAATTTAAGTGTTGTTGCATGCATGTTAGATCTTTCACTATGCAACCTTTCACTGTGGGGATAAGATGAAGAAGGTCATAATACTTGGTATGTTCTGTAGGCTGCCTGAGTGAAAACCTTTTAAGTTAAGGGTGCCTCAACCGATACACCAAAATCAAGGCTGCTTCAGTTTTGGACACTTCTGCCAAAAACACATTGCTGAAGATATTTAGCAGGGCATAGGTGCTCTTAAAGAGACTTTGTTTGCTCTCATTTTTATTCTCTAATAAATATTTATTGCATTTTAGTCCTGTGAACCCTTCATCATCAAGAGGTTTATTTACTAAATTCCTAACAGGTACATTTGTGCAAAGCCAGTGAAGCCAAAGAGGTTGCACAGCTGGTACAGAGGGCGTAATTTGCCCTGCAGAATCTTTATTACTGATGATGATAAAAAGGAAAAGAGAGAAAGAAAAGGGCTTAGAACTTAGAACCCAGGATGGACATGCATTACTGGCAAACAGGAAAAAAAATAAAACCCAGCACTGGTTTATTTCTCAACTTGAGTATGTTTGATATGGAAATTGATGAGACAATAAACGTGGAACAGGATGGAATCACTTTTCAGAGCAGAGCTGTACTATAAGAGAAATAAGATGGGGCCAGTGAGCTTACTAATTAAACTCCATCCAGCCTTTTCTCTTGCTCACCAAAAATTTAAAAAAAATACTACTTTCCCTCTCTGTCACTCATTTTCCCCATTCAATTGCAGTGAAATCTTTCTATGAATTACTTATTGGTTAAAATTATTGGTTAAAATTGCTACCTTATTTATGTGAATTTGATCCTGGTGTCTTGTCCTTAACTCATTAGAATATAGCATAAGTTGCAAGTCAAAATGTGCTTGGTGGTGTTTTTCTATCAATTTTCTATCACGGTATTCTTAGTTCAACAGAATTCAGGACTGGGATAGCCTCAGTGTAGGGAAATAATCACATTGCCTGCTAACACTAAACTTTGCTCAAATCCATTTTTAGGCATCCCTTACTTCAGTGAGCATCAAATAAATAAAATGATTAGTAATCTGAAGAAATCCAAATGTATTTTTTTGGTTTGTAACTTCTATAAAAATGCTCAGCACTACTTAATATTTGGGAATAGCCTGAGCATTATTTAGATTCCCAGACTTGAAATTAATGTAAGTTATGGAACTGATAGTTAATACGCTTAGGCATTTCCGAATATCAAGGATCTCTCACAAGATGAACAATTCCATAGGCACCAATCCAGTCAAGCACCTAAACACATGCTTAACTTTAATCACGTTTAATCCATTGGTTTCAAGTCAATGGAATTACTTTCTAGCTTGTGTACACATATGTGTTGATAGGATTGAGGCCTAAGATTGCATTCCTCTGAATTACCTAGTGATTTCAGAGTGCAGTGCAGCTTTGAGAGACCCCCTGTTTCTTTGGTGCCCTATTTGCTGCTCTTTGGCACTACGTTAATTACAGCTACAAGGTTTTCTATTTATTTTTGGAAAAAACATTACCATGCCAAAAAATCAAACTCACTAAGCTTTGTCTTTCTCTTTTATCTTTCAGACCTGACGAAACCTGGTAATTATCTCTTTTTAACATTTTTGTTTCGCTTTATTTCACTTTCCCAATGCTTCCCAATTCAACAAACAACAGCATTACTTCTCCCAAACAGAGATCCCAGATGCAGGAGTTATTGGCATATATAAGCTGGTGTAAAGAAAGAAGGCGGAGCCTGTTGCGCTATGCATTCTACCCTGAGAGCCAGAGGAGAGTGGCTCTCAGAGATATCAGAAAAAGAGCCAGGGACAATAGTTATGCTGAAGAGTTTGAGGGCCCTCAATGGTTAAAAATAGATGACAAGATTTTAAACTACACTGATTTCTTTTGCAATACTCCTGCAATACTCTTCGATCAGATTTCTGAAGGCTGACTGTTACTCTAGCAAAATAAAACGGCACAGAAAGCTCCATAAGAAACATTACATGAGACTTCACAACAGAGTAGTTCTTGCAGCTGTAAGCGTCTCTCATCCTTCATACTGTAGGGTCAAATGACTATGATTGTTTAGTAGCTATATTACCGCAGCGCTCAAAGCCCTAGGCCTCATTGTGCCAGGTACTGTACAAACATACATAAAGAAGCATTTTACCCCCTGAAAACATTTTCCTTGGGTTTTTGACTATTACAAATAGAGCTGGGCCCAGATTCAATTTCCCTTCTGCCTGATATGGAAAAGGGATTTGAACTTGGGTCTCCCATATTTTAGAGTATTCCCGGGCCACCGAGCTATGAGATGTCCGGATACAGAGTTTTCTCAGTCTCTCCTGTCCCATCTGTCCTACTTTGTATAAATAATGAAATTGTCATTGGAGTAGGGCCTTTGAATTTGGATCTGCCATACCTTAAGTCAGTGGTTCTAAACCAGGAGTAGAAGTACCCCTGGGGGTATGCAGAGGTCTTCCAGGGAGTACATCAACTCATCTAGATATTTGCCTAGCTTTACAACAGGCAACATAAAAAGCAGTAGCGAAGTCAGGACAAACTAAAATGTTATATAGACAATGACTTATTTATGCTTCTTTATAAACTATACACTGAAATGTAAGTACAATATTTATATTCCACTTGATTTATTTTATAATTACATGGTAAAATGAGAAAGTAAGTAATTTTTCAGTGCTCGGATGCTGTGACACTTTTCTATTTTAATGTCTCATTTTTTGTAAGCAAGTAGTTTTTAAGGGAGGTGTAACTTGGCGGTACACAAGACAAATCAGATTCCAGAAAGGGCTACAGTTGTCTGCAAAGGCTGAACGTCCTAACCACCAGCCTATAGAGTCATTCTTACACTTTGCCCCTGTCCCAATGAATTCATTGTCATTCATAGTGGAAATTCAGAGAGTCATTCGTAATGCTAAAAATCTATTTGCTGAAAATCTTTTGCCCAGTTTTATTTATAAATATCCCTCTTCCTAACAAAAGAAATGCATTCCTAGGATGAATTTCTTTCAGGATCTACATGACACATGCAAGAAAATCAAACACTTTAGCAAATGTCTTCTCGTGATACTGAGAGATGTCATTGAAAATGAAAAACAGACCCTAGCACAAAGGAGTCTGGTCTATGACTGGGGCTCCTAGGAGCTACAGCAATATAAATAAAAACAATAATAATTAATCCACATGAACATTCATTTGAATAGTCATATTGACTTATATAGGACTAGTAAGCAGAAGAGAAATATTGTTGGAAATGTAGGGCTGAAAGGGATCTCGAGATTCCATCTATATTTTCCCTCTGTGCTAAGACCAGGATACCTAGAACATCCCTGATAGATTTTCATTTAATCCTTTCTTCAAAACCTCCGGTGGTGAGGATTCACATGCATGTTTACAGGATTGGATCCCAAAGGGTTAACATTCATATTTCTTAACTCTGTTTTCTCCTTCCTCTTCTTTTAAGTAAGTGTCTTCATTACAGCAATCAGAGGAAATGCAGACAACTAGCTTTTTATCAGCTTTGTGAATTATGCAATTGGCTAGAAATATAGTTATGTGTTATTTGCAAGATGGGTCCCTGCTTTGTATTCTCTAGTGTCATGAATGTCTAGCCAGCCATCTCTCTCCATCCACCTATATACCTACCATGTTCTAATTTTCATCCTTTCTCTCTCTCTCTCCATCTATCTTCTCCCCCCATTCAGTTATGCTTTTAATTTGGTTATGATTTTATTGGTGTTATCTTGAATTTGGCACATTATTCCACAAGTCTTTCTCTCACTATTAAAGATGTTGCTGATTTATGTATTATTCTCCTTTTGTATTAATAGCTACTACTACTACTACTACTACATGGCTGCCTTCAACAGGTAATTCATAATTCTTTTACTTCTTTATTTCTATGTTGTATTCTTCTTAATTATTTCATTATAATACACAAATAATTCCCATATAAATGGCATCAGATTCCTTGGATAGGAAAATAAGTGCGGCATGGTGATAAACCTCTGTATTTTTTGCAGGCTGTCTTCAGGCTGACGGCAATACATTTTTTTTTGAATATCAACTTTTTCTTTCTTTTGACAGCTAGCACTTCTAAGTAGGGATACAGTAGTACTGTAGTAGTTTATTTAGGTATTTATACTTTAAAGTAAGCACTTAGGCCCCAATCCTGCAAACACGTATGTATGTGCTTAACTTGGCTGACGTGACTAGGCCCAGTGGTCTCAATGAAACTATTCCTGTCAGCAGAATTAAGCATGTGTGTATATGTTTTCACAAATAGGACTCTAGAGCCTAGTGATACTTGAGTACATTTGATGAGACAATAACCGTGGAACAGGTTGGAATCACTTTTCATAGAAGAGCTGTATTATAAGAGAGCTTACTAACTGAACACCATCCAGCCTTTTCTCTTACTCACCAATTTAAAAAAAAAATTACTACAGTCTTTCTCTGTCTCTCATTTTCCCCATCTATACACTGAGAATAATAATACTTACCTGTTTGGTAACTTGCTTTGAGAGCTATTGATGAAAAAGGCTATAGAAGAGCTTGGTGGTGTTATCATTATTATAATTTTCATGACAGAAGTAACTTGATCTGCACCTTCAAATGCTTGTGATCCAAAGATGCATCAATTGCAGTGAAAGTTTTCTATGAATCTCTTATTGGTCAAAATGTTCATTGACTGAGGTCACTGGTTGCATCCGTCTCATTCACCCAGAAGTTAGTGATTTGAGGGTGCTATGCTGCTTTCAGGAACTCACTGTGTCTGTGCTACCCTACTTGTTGCTCTTTGGCTCCAAGTTAAATACAATTACACTGGTTTCTATATATTTTTGGTAAAATATTACAGTGCCCAAAACAAAACAAAAAAGCACTAACCCCGTCCTTCTCTTTTATCTTTCAGACTCGACGAGACCTGGTAATTGTCTCTTTTCAGCATTTTTTGTTCAGTCCATTCCACTCTCTATTACTTCTGTTCCCTGTCCTTCTCCAGGAGATAGTAAGGCACATTTGAGACTGTTACAGTTTTCCTTTGGGGACCAGATTTTCAAAAAGTGCTCCTCCGCCCTGCATACGTGATTTTTTTAGGATCCTTTGAGCTTGTTAGTTGAAGAGCAACTTTGTGGACGGAGGCAAATTTTCCTATATCAAAAACAAAGAAACATTGACATGAAACTCTGAGAACACCAATTTCTACACAGTTTTAAAAGTGTTTGGGCTGAATTCTATCCTTACTGACATCAGTATAACTCCATTGACTTCAGTGGAACAGTCTGGAATAACAGTTCTGTGGAGATTTGTCCACAAAACCTTGCTATTCTGTGCTGGAAGAATGCAATTTTCTTAGTCGTGTCATTTTTTCTCAATAGCTGGGGACCACACTTCCTATATGTAGCTTTTTTTACACTGATTGTCACAATCCAATATGACCTCCCAGACTCACAAATTAATGTTTTTGTAACTATAATAATTCTTACAGAAATATAGACCTTTTCTTTTATGTTTGTTTTTAGACTATTACCACTGTGGTGGCTACCTCTCAGGTTCTTCTGGGACATTCTCTAGTCCAAACTATCCTAGTTACTATCCAAACAATGCACGATGCATCTGGGAAATACAAGTGCAATATAATGGTTATGTACACGTCCAGTTTGACCATGTTGCGTAAGTAAAGCACTCGATATTTATAAGTAATTTAGTCTTTTTTGATCTTTAATTATTGTGCTATCCAGTTGGTCATTTATTTTCACTGATCTTTATTAGAGGGCCCTTTAACCATTTGAATGCATTATGGATGTATGAGTAGCACCTTGGGGTGTACGTTCATCCCATTTAACGAATTTTCCTGACTCACGTGTATACTAATTACATTTCTATGTGCATATCTGACTTCAAAAGCACCAAACTAGGTGCATTACATGGGTTGGTTACATTGCAAAAACTCTGAAAGGTTGTTGCAATTAGGCTTTGTTTTTACAAAAAAAAATCTGTCTTCTGTGTGCAAGTGATATATATAATTGCAATTTCACATCATCCGTGCATGAGTACAAAACGTTAAGTATAACGAATACAATAACTGGGGGGAATTCACGAGATTAGGTTGTGCTCTTCATCTAATGTTGATTTGTAAGTAAATTACAGTGCACAAATAACATAACGTTGAAATTAGATCACGCACATGGTGACTTGAGGACATAAAGAAATGTTCTTAGAACATCAGTCCTGTCTATACCATGATATTATATCTTCGTTTGGTTAAAAGTATGCATGAAGCATTTTTATTTTCTCATAGGTTTCTTTAAAGAGGATTAAAATTTTAATGTTAAATATTAAAAATATTAAATCTTCACCTGGACATTTGTTGATAGAGGGTGAGCACATTGTACAGTAACATAGGGAATGTTTACACAGCAGTGAAAGCCTAGGTTTAGTGGGACTCAAGTCAGCTGACCCATGTCAGGGAACCCTGGGCTTGAGCATTTACACTGCATTTTAAACCTAGATAGAGGATTTTCTGACCGGGGCTCTAACCTAGGGCTCTGGTATCCACACTGCAGTGCGCACACCCAAGTCAAAGTAACCCTATCCCGGAATGCCTAGCTTCCCCTCCCCCCCCACCCTAGCATTGACACTCTAGCCCGACGAATATGCTGCACAGTAGGGAAATTCTACTGCCCATTCTCTTTCCTCCTGTGACAGTGCTATTGATGGGACTCAGGTGCCCATAAGGAGCTATGAGTACATATACCACATTATTCGCTCATTTGGTAGCTGTCTCAGGAGAATGATGGCAGTTTGTGAAAGCTTTATACTGAACTACCATCGAACCTGAGAATTGGTCTCGCCACCTCTAGGCTGAGTCACATTGGCAGGAAAATGCCCACGTGCACTTGTTCTGAGGATAATTAGGACATCAGTCTCCAGGACTGTCACACTAGGAAACGTTGCAACTCTTAAGATTCAAACTGGGATTTTCAATGAAGGTGTTTTTCTTTGGCTGTCCGTTTTGAAGTTTAATAATATGTTGGTTTCAGAGGAAAAACAGACACACACCCCAGCCTGACTTCTACCGGCTGCAGAGTGAAGTGCATCCCCAGATCTGGGGGTTCAGAGTGTTCCAGCACCCCCTAGGAATCCATTATCCCTTCCCCTGCCACACCCCGGGAGGCAGGGGCAAGGGATCCCTGGGAGGCTGTGAGGAAGTTTTGGGGCTGGCTCCAACTCGCCACCCGCACAGTGCACGTTGTCCGGGTGCCCCAGCATACACAGCCCCAGGGAGGGCAGAAGGGGTCAGAAAGCATAGTGGGGACCAAGCGGCTGCCATGCCGGGAGGGAGAACAGCCAGAGTGTTGGGGGGTCATCCGTTCCCTGGCCATGCTGAGCCAGGAGCTATGCTACTCCCCCTCCCTGTAGCCGCTTGGTCCCCACTCTGCTCTCTGCCCTCTTTGCCCCCATGGGGCTGTGTGTGTGCAGGGGCGCTCAGACACTGTGCACCAACATCTGGCTATGCTCTTGTGACCAGGAAGCAGCTCTCTTTGCAAAAAACTGCTTCTGATCGGTCTACACTGATAGTTAGGGCCCTACCAATTTCACGGCTGTGAAAAGCATGTCACGGACCGCGAAATAAGCCCTTTCCCATGATATCTAGGGGTAGTGAGGGAGTTCAGACCCACTTCCAGTTACCTTTTGGGTTGGGACCCCCATGGTTACAACACCATGAAATTTCAAATGTAAACATCTGAAAACGTCAAATTAGCCAATTAAAAAACCCTCTGGCTGTGAAATTGATCAAAATGGACCGTGAATTTGGTAGGGCCCTACTGATAGTGTACTTGCAAACCCATGTTCAGCAGACAATGGGTTCATGCTGATCTGAGCTGCTGCAGTATGCAAAGGGAGGTGTGGCTTCATTTTGCAACAGCGTGCAATAGACTGCACCACAGATTGTCAGCATCGGAGGACTAAGGAAGTTGCCCCAAGGAACTCTGGGATACATCTGGAAGACTTCTGGGACCTGAGTCAAGCAAGGGCTGCATGCAGACAGAAAAGTAATAGAGCCCAGTTTAACATGGGCTCGGACCCTCCAGCCCTGCGGGATCATGGGTCCCTATGTTTGAGACCTAGGTTAACAAAGAGAGTCTGGGCTTATATTGCTGTGTAGATGTAACACTGACAGACCCTGGTCATCGGCGGGCGGGATTTAACCTGGGGCCTCTGGAGCTTAGTGAATGAGCCTCTACTTCATGAGCTAAAAGCCAATTGGCTGTTAGCTAAGGCTGTAGAGCAGACTCATTAATCTCTCTGTCTCTCTAAATGGTCTCCGTGCCACTAGGTGGGACAGAACACTGCACCCAGGAGGTGTGTGAGTTACAAAGACATACCCATAATTTCCACTAAAGGCCACATTTTCAAAACATGGGCTCTAATTGTGTTTGTGTAACCTGTCACTTCTGCATGAATGAACATACCAGTGTGCCAGAAATGTAGTATTTGTGGTAGGCAAGCAAAAATGCTAGCAATTGGCACATGTGTAACGAGAGGTCAGGCTACTATAGACTGCAGGCCAACAATGTCTGAGGCACTTTCAACAAAGTGTTTTAACTGACAGCCAAAAGGATAATTTACAAGTACAGTCTAACTTTCCCTCCGCAGACTGGAGCAGTACACTAACTGCGCTCACGATTTTATTGAAATCTATGCGCAAGAGTCATATACATCTACTTTGCTGGGAAGAATATGTACTGGTGGCTATCAAGCATTTACATCCTATTCAAACAGAATGATGGTTGTGTTTTCGAGCGATGGCAATTACCAAAATACAGGATTTTATGCTTCTTATTATACTGTCTTCCGAGGTAAGAACAATTACTTTGTCTCAGATATGCTGGTTAGCATGGAGCATATATTTTGAGAACCTGGCCGAATGCACTAATTATTTAGGATTCTCATTCTTTCTCTTATATTATCCATTTTTATTTCTTCTTTGACATTAGATAGTTTTAGCAATTTCAGCGGAATGGGAGAGTTTTACAACAATGCATGTAGGTTACGAATGTAAACAGAGAAAGTTCCAAATGTAAAGAGAGTATGAAGTTTACCAGAAAAATATGCACCCTGCACAAAAATGCCCCTCCTCCACAATCAAAGGGGGAGGAACATTGAGTGGCCACAGGGGAAGGACGCAGTGCCCACATGGTGCGGGGGAGTTGGCTGACATGAGATAGCATGTGTGGCTGGGAAAGGGGGGGGGCTATCCCTTAGGGTCCACCACCTTCCCCATTGGCTGTAGGGGAGGGAATGTGCTAGCCAGTTGGCTCTTGTGCTCCCCCCACCTAGTCTATTTAAGCTTATCCAGTCTTTTCAAAAAGTGTCTTGCTACAGCCAGCTACCCTGCCTTCCATCCCCTTAGTATAGCATCAGTGCTGTGTTGCTTATGATGCTGAGGTTCTGACTGATCACATGGTATGGGATCAGGAAAGAATGTTTCTTGTTGGACCAAATTGGCAAGAATTCTGGGGGGAAGAGGGGGTCAGCTTCTTCTCAGGATCATGGAGGCACCGTCAGCTTATAGCATTACCACATGCAAAGGTTTAACATTAGGAAAAGTTGTACTATTTTAGCACTGCAAATGGAGTATGCTGATTTACAGTTGAGCATCTGGCCCGAGATGTATTAAGCAATACTTATCTGACAGGTCGGTCTTTATTAATCATGTATAATATTGTGGGTCTAAAAAGGACTAGACTGCCTTGTAAATGTTGTTTTTGTTAATTAGTTGTTACCTTTTCTAGGTTAGTGAACTCACTTAGAGCCACATACAAGTCAACTCTATTTAGAGATGAGGAAACTCCAGGTGTCTAATATTGTCTTATAGCCAAATCCATGTCCCATGGGTGCAAAAAAAAGCCCGAATTGCATTGGAACCACAGCACAGCACAAGTGAGTGGCCACAGAAAGATCATGCAGGGAAACTCTAAGACCTCTAATTTCTGCACATCAGCGCTGTGACAGTTTGGAGAGGCCTGGGGTTTGCTCACAACTAGCTGACCTGATGTTCAATATGACCCATTCCTGTCTACACTGACTGCAGAGCTATGGTCAACATCATATTAGTTCACATAACTCAAGGTTATTTCTAACTTGATGTAATGGTCTAATGAACACACGTCCCCCTCTCCTCCGACTTAGCAAAGACAGCAGTAGAACCAGACTTGCCGAAAGTTTTCAGTGCCACAATTCGCTAGATGAATTGCGATACAACGTCAAGAAGATTACTCTGATCCTTGGAGTTGCCTGAGTTTGAGTTGCGGCAAATGTTTACAATAGGTCAATAGTTTCAGACACTATTTGTGATTTAAGATGAAAATAGTTTATATATTTTCAAGTTGAAAATCCAAGACATTTGTTTCAGGGGAGGGATGGTGCTAATGGATGTCACGGGTGCACAGGAGGGTTTGGTAGCTGGGAAGCCGCCAAATAGGAAAGGACTTGCCCATGCCACCCTGATATATTTTCTATGATATTTGTCTTCCTTTTTTCCTTATCCTCATGTTTACTTTCTCCTTTTTCTTTCCAATCCCTTCTCCTCCCTGGTTCTCATATTTGTCTCCTGCACTTATTCATTCCCTCTCTCACATCTCCTCTGTCTGTCCTTTCTCCCTTTTATTCTGCCATCCTCTTACCCAATACCCTGCCACAATCCAGTGCTCACCCTATTGTTCAGGGGAGGAGAGGAAGAGTGACAATGTCAGCCAAGTGTCGGCATGTGCTGGGATTACATTGCTGATTTATACTAATGCAGAGAGGGGTGTGAGCAGAGTGGACAAGGGGCTTTTTTTTTATGAGGGATGGAAAAACAGTTAGTGATTCAGGGGTACACAGAGGGTGAGGAGCTGAGGATGTTGGTGACAGAACATTTTATAGGCCTGGCAAAAATAAAAGCTGAGCTCAGCCATGGGCAAGTCCTGTTCAGTGCGTACTGAAAATACAGATTTACTGGCTGTTCCTTTTCCATCCACCAACCCTCACTGACACATGTCAAGAGTGCCGCAGGAGTAGCTTTTCTGGGGCCCAACAGCCTACAGGGAAGATTCAGTTTCCCTCAGCAGAGAATTTGACGCTTAACAACTAATACATATCTTAATTAATAATAAACCTCAAAACGTCAGAATATGGATTCTGTTCAAATAACCTAATGCTATTGTTCTATTTTGCTTCTCTGGCAGACTGAGGTTTGCTTTCATAAGCCTAACTATGCAGTCTTCATTAGCTGTCAGGATGACAGAAGATTAAAAAATCTTGGCATTTTAGGAAATTGGCAAAAATGGGAAGAAGCTCTTACCCTGATATGTAGGAATTCCCAGGAAAAGTGGAAAAGAAAAAACATTATTTATTATGCAGAAAATCTGCAAAATATAAAATTAACTCAGATTTATCATAATAATACTTTACATTTATATACAGGGGTTAATTTATGGATCTCAAAACAGCTTACCTAGAAATAAAGGATCTTTATCCCCATTTTTACAGATGGGGAAACTGAGACATAGAGTTTAAGAGATTGCCAAGGGCCACACAACAAGACAGTTAAAAATGTGGGAGTAGAAACCAGATTTCTTGACTCACAACACCATGCTAGAGCCACTAGACCACAGTTCCTTCCTTGTGATATAACATTTTGCTATCTGTACATTATTTGCTCTTCTCGCAACAGGCTCTGGTGGTATAGCGTAGGGATGGCTGGAAAACAAGAAAATTCTGATTTGGAGAATAATTTTGAGGGTTTCAAATTTGTTTTCATTCTGCATCAGAACAAAAATGAGACTGTTTGGGTTTTTGCTCTTAATGAAAAAGCACAAGCGTTTTAGCACAAGTGCTCCCCACACTAGCCAATAGCATGGTAGTTAAGGCATTCACTCTGATGCAGAAAACCCAAATTCAATGCTCTGCTCTACCTATTTGGGAGCAGATATTTGAACCTGGGTCTCTCACATCAGGTGAGTGCCAATCAAAAAACCAATTTCCCTCCTGGACCTGAGACAACTTCCCAGTGAAAGGCTTGTTGAAACAGATATGTTTCCATGAAAAGTTTTGGTTTTGATGAATCAGATTATTCCAATGAAAAAACGTTTGTCAAAAAATTCCCAATCAGCTCTAATATAGCATCCACATAAGCATAGGCTATAACCAGACGCGTGAGTCACAACTCCTCAGTGTTTTTTACGATTTCTAGGGGGTGGAAATTACACTAGATGGAAAAAAGATTACTGCCCATTATTCCACAAATCGTTTCCCATGTCTTTTAAAGACTGGTGAATGGATGGAACAGACGTGAGGGTCATTTGAACTTTATTACAAAGGAAATTGTGCAAGGGTTTGTGATGATTACTGGAACACACAAAGCAGAGGTTGTTTGCAGGCAGGTTGGATGTGGATGAGCCATTTCAGCAACAAGAAATGCCTGTTTTGGTCAAGGGTCAAAAAATGTTCTCCTTGATTATCTGCATTGTGGAGGTAATGAATCCTATCTTTGGGACTGCCTCAGTCTAAGAGGGGACTCATGTAACTGTGGTCCCAGTGAAGATGCTGGAGTCATCTCTACAGGCATTTTCTGATTTTCTTTTTGAAATACTTAAGCCATATACCATACCAGAGTGTTTAAGATATGTACATGCTTCATCTGATATGGCATGGGACTAGGAGTTCTGTTCACTTATACACTATTGTGGACTCGATCGAGTTGCTAGACTTCTTTGTACCTCGACATGAAACACTTGGATATTTAAAAAATGAAAAGCACTATAAAAAGTATAGTTACTAAAACGTATTTCATTTGCTTCCTGTTTACAAAGTAAAACATTCTTCAGACATATTTGTTTAGTAAGGTTTTAATTAGACCTAATGCAAATAGTGAAGGTGAAAATGGATTTTTCTCTCCCATTCCTCTCCCCCGTTTTCCAATTGCTCATAATTTCCTCAAAGAAATTCCTTTTTCAGCTGAAATAACCCATACTTGGTCTGAAGCCTTAAGGTGATCGTGTTATGTGGAAAGCTTTGAGTAAAATATGTGCAGCCATTTTTGAGTTATATAAGAAACGGGGATTAAAAATTCTCTGTGTTCCTATTAACATCTTGCTGGGGGTAGAAATTTCAGTCATGGTTTGGTTTGCAGGTCTTATTGCCTGTGTCTTCACACTTTTTTTCTCATGTTCTTAACTTGTGTTAGCTAACCCAAGGTAAAATCTTGCTTTGATGTTTTCACAGGAGTTACCAGGTTGAGATAAGTCCTAGGCTGTCCCCTGGTCTATAACTCAACCTGCTAACTCATGTGAAAACTACCAACTGCCTTGTCTTCATTTGGATTTTATCTCAAATTAATTAATGTGAGTTAAGAACACACTTACCTTTTTTTGAAATGTGCTTCGAGATCTATTCTTTAAAAATGTTATATAAGACCTAGGTGCAATTCATGGAAGTTACGGAACATATCCTTAGGCATTTCTAATTATTAGGGATCTCTCACAAGACTAACAATTCCATAGGCAATAATCCAGTCAAGCACCTAAACACGTGCTTAACTTTAATCACATTTAATCCATTGGTTTCAAATCAATGGAATCACTTCCTAGCTTGTGTACGCATATGTGTTGATAGGATTGAGGCCTAAGATTGCATTCCTCTGAATTACCCAGATGTTAGTGATTTCAGGGTTCTGTGCAGTTTTGAGAGATCCCCTGTGCCTTTGTTGCTCTATTTGTTGCTCTTTGGCACTAAGTTAATTACAGCTACAACATTTTCTATTTATTTTTGAAAAAAACATTGCAATGCCCCCTCCCCTCCCAAAATAATCAAAATC